TTCTTCCTGTCTTTGATTTGCACATACTTTTAATTCTTATCGGTGAGATTATTAGTGGTACTTGTTTTTTAAGAGATGCAGTTTGTCCATCGTACTAAAATACTTCTAGTCTGGGATTTTCTTTGTGGTGAAGGCGAGAACTTAGATTCTAGAAATATTTGATAAAGAACAGGGATTGCAAGGCAATGGGCAATTTGTTGCTTGAGAAGTAAAGAAAATGGAAAGATAATGCAAAAAAGCCGGTATTAGCTCAGTCAGCATGGCAATTTAAGACTAAGTATTTCACCATGCTTAAAATTGTGTGTGCATATGTGGTGCGAACATGAATTTTTTTTTGTAAGTATAAGAAAAATTCTTTTAGGATATATGAAACATAGCATGCATGCAGAGTGTACTAATCAAAAGCAAACATTTAAGGGGTTGTGTGTTCCACAATTATAAAATAAAAAATAGTGTGAAAACTTTAAAATTGAAAATTAAAATAAAATTCTTCCATTTGCGCCATTCTAGTAAGTATTGTACTTAGTTGTATTAAAAAAATGTGCCCTTTTTTGGAACATTTTGGGCTAAAAAATTGAACGCTTTTAAGGAGTTAATTTCGCGCACGGGCATTTTCTTAAAATTCTTTATTTCTTAAACAAACATGAACATTTCGGAATATTAATGTGAAAACAAGGGGATATTTTCATTATTCTATCACTGAGTATTCACACTGTCTCCTTTTTTTTAAAGTAACTTAATCGTCGATATAAAGGAAATACAAAGTGGTTTTTTTTTATTACACGTCATTTTCCATAGAATGTAAGGAAAAAAAATCACTGCGATAACTATCAATTTTATTCGTACATCCCTTACGACTCAATAGTTCAGTCTAAATACATTTGCAACACATGCACAACTCGACTAAACTATTCAGTCAAAAAATTAATTATACGCGTTAGCCTTGATGATATTATCCATGTCATAGAACAAATAAACAATTAGTGAAAATAGTGGGTTTTATTTATTTTTTTCCTCGTATGAGACAGCATAAAATATCTAAGCTCAATTTACTTATAGAATACTGAGAATTATGAAGCAATAGTATTAAATATATAGAATTTTAAATTTTACACGACACTATTCGTTTTATACATTAGTACTCTTTCTATATACACTGCTTGACAATTTCTAAGGAGGGATTTATGCAAAATTGCTTCTCAGTCAGCCGAGCAAAGAAAGTAAATTCAACTTCAGAGGGTGTGGTTGACTAGGATTCGTTATCTGTATAAAGGACAGTGCATACAAGCTCATGATTCGTACCAAACTTCATGTTTTTTTAATTTTTAACGAAAATAGTGCTGGATGTTATAAAAGTTTCTTCTCTGAAGTTCTGTTTGATTCTTGCAAAAATTAGGGGGAAAATGTTAGCAATACATCATTTGATTGAATACGGTTGTGGAAAAACAATTATACGACTGGAAGCAGGTCAAAAAGTGTCATCACTGTATCTGATGCAAGGGGTGTATCAAAGAGTGTCATCTCGCTATTAAAGAAGGTCGCTGAAGGTGGAAAAGAGAAACCATGCCGAGGGGCAAGTTAGGAACATCACATCTTTAGAGGATCCCTATGTAGCCCTCGTGGCAAAAAGGAACAGAAACTTCACTCCCGGCCGGATCTGCAAACCTTGCAACTGCTACCGGTACGCATATTTCAGCAAGAACCATCTCACAGCGATTAAAACAAGTTTGTTTGTATGCACGGAAGCCTGTTCGTTACATCCCTCTTCAATTACACCATCGTCGAGAGGGATTACGCTGGTGTAAGGAACGTGTTAGTTGGGATCACTAAAATTGGCTTAGAGCAGTGTTTCTCAAACTGTGGGGCGCGCCCCCTTAAAGGGGCGTAACAACTCTACAAGGGGGGTGCGAGCATATTGAAAAGTCGAAAATAAAAGATTATTTAAAAAAATTATTAATTTACTTAGAGTAAACGAAAAAAAATTATTCTGGCACAATAAAAAATAAAATACACATTTACACTGATATAATACACTTATAAATGTATCAGTACTACACGATGTATTTTATTATTAATTTAACAATACTAAGTTAAAAACAAGTTTAATAGTTATCAGTGACCTTGTCATATATAAAAAAATTAACAATTATCCTTATAATTTGTACTGTTTGTAATTAATCCCTTAACTGCTGATTAAAAGTAACGCAATTCGCTCCCCAACGACAACCGTTATCCACTTAGACGTTCTATGTGGTGAGTGTGATGTATCGGAAGGGAAGGGCGAAAGAAAAGGAATAAATAAGCAAATCCTCTGAAATACGTAAATCCTTCGCAAACTCCTGTCAAATTCCTTTTATTGCACATTCCAAAGCTTTTTTTTAAGGTTTAAAAATAATTTTTATGGATAGCAGTGTACAGAAAAGATCGTACTTCGGAACGACGTATATATATGCCCAGGACAATTACCGTTTTGACTGAGCAAGACGTATATATACGCCAGTGACACTTACGAGGTCAATTCGTATTGTAGCTTTAGCGTCAAAGTATAGTATTATTGAATTCAAAACATTGTTATTGTATGGAAGAGGGGCGCGAGGGAAATTCTGATTGAATATTGGGTCGCAAATATTGAAAGTTTGAGAAGCACTGGTTAAGAGAGATGTTCTCCGACGAATATCGTTTCAGTGTTGCAACAAGTGATTCAAGCTTAGTGAAGAGCATGGAAAACAGACCCAAAATGTACATTAGTGTCCATGATCAACACACATCTCACTAAGGTACTCATGTCTGCATCATTTTGACCTGAAGATAAATTTTTTGTGGCTGTTTGGAATTTATCCATTTTAAATTATTTTTTTTTGTAAGATTTTAATTCTTCGTGTACAATTTTGCATTAAAATAAATACAAATTGTCCGTACTAAATATGTGCTTAGTTTCATTTATTCAATCATGGTCTATTCTAAATTATTCCGAAAAACGTAACTGTTCCTTAGCAATTGTAAAACAGTGTGTAGTATACATTATACTAAACAAATCTTAAGTACATTTCAAATTTCAGAGGAAAAAATGAGTGAATGATCTAAAATATGTCAAAAATTACCGCGACTTTTTCTATTTATTTTCTCTTTCATTGGATATATTAGAGCAAATGTTATCTGAAAAAATAACAGAGGGAAAATGTAAATTTTTATATTTAACTCCAAGTGAAAGACAAACTTTTTAACTGATATAAATAGTTTTGCTTCAGATGTGTAGTCTCCAAATTTTAAAGAATTTAAATTATAGATAAAAGACTTTAAAAAATAATCACAGCATTTTATGTAAGTGAGCATTACACAATAAAGCAACTACCGACGACGGACCTCGTAATTTTGAACCATAGTCAAGTGCTAAGGACGACACCTGAGTTGGCCTTTTTCTAATAACTACCACACCATGCAAACGAATGTCTTTGGGCCTCGACAGGTTTAATGTGCATAAGCTCCTCTATATAGTGAGTATTTAGTTGCACTAGGGATCCGTCTCAAGACAAGGTGGCCACAAATCCGTGACCGTGACCTCTAGATTACTACGGCCACCTAAGTTTTATGTACCAAGTAACAGCAACGTTTTCTCTTTTAAATTAACGTCTTAGCCCATATTAACAACTTATTTAAGTTGTACATTTTTTACTAAAATATTATAATGGTATTAATAAATGGTATAATGATATTCAATGATGAGATATTTCAATGCTTTCAATAATCAGTGAATTAATTTTCATAATATTTCACACACACAATGCTTTCAATAATCAATTCATTAATTGTAATGATTAATCTTCAGAAACATATTTAAAAAAGGTTTTCAAAAGAGGGCACTAATAGGCTAATTAGGAAGATTCATTTCAGTAAAATTAACATTTATCATTAAATTTCTATCTCTGACTGTTAAACGGTACAAAAAAATATTTGCAATATTAGTTAGTGATAAATGTGTATAATTTAAGACAAATACAAGTGAAACGAATTTATATTTGTAGGTTTGATTTACTTATATAGTAGTTAATTAACACTAAAAAAACTGACATTTAATATACACCTATTCACAATTTTTATCCCGGTCATATTGATTTTAGCAAGGAAATATGAAGCAAATTTGATGCAGTAATTCAATAAAAAAAGCTTTGACCAAGTACGAAAAATGTAGTCTTCCCTTTACCCTTTATCACATTACGTTTCACAAATCCCGCCCTGCTCGATTCTTCCTTGAAAATATTGTAAAGAGCTGCTCTTTCAGGCATAGAATCTAGTCTTCGTTTAGTATCTTCTCGTTAGTATCCATTTCATCATCAGAATATCAGAGTAGTTTCATTCTTTTTTGTCCTCCATATATTTTCGTAATATTCTCCCTTATATCATACACATTTCTGTAGACCCAGACTCAGCACATCTAATAGATCATTATTATGCGCAAATACTTCATGTTTCCTTTCAGAAAGTTTCTAGCCTTCATTAGTTTCGGAACATTTTTCGATGTCATTTACTTAATATGGGAGCTTTGTATGACATGATTATGTCGACATATTTCTGAGTGAAGCTAACAAAAGTATAAGTGTAATATAGTAAAAAGCTAAGACCAATATCTTAACTAGCTGCATTTTTTTTAGTTCTAAATAAGTAAAAAAAGGAATAAAATAATAAAACAAGTAAAATATATATATATATAAAAAATAAATTTAAAAGCCAATTTTTACTTAGATTTACAAAGAAAATTTTATTTTAGTTACTTTTTATTAAATAATTACAATTAATACAAATATGTATATATGTATGGCAGAATCACAATATTAAGTGGCAAAATAGAAAGCGATTTCCATTGCGATTTTCTGTTTTCCTTTCTATATATGATGTTGGACTATTATTTTTGTCTGTTATTACTTATTAATTAATTAATTTTAATTATTCCAATAAAATAGTATATATATAGTAAAAAGAAATCACATTCTCAGAAATTAGGTCATCCCAGGCAGGATTCAAACCCACGACCTTTGAAATAGAAGTCCAACGCACTATGCAATGTGCTATTAATTGCGCTACAGGGACACAACGAGTGATTTTCCTTTTTATATATGGTGTTGGACTTTTTTTGTTACTATTTATTCATTAATTAATAGAATTAATGAATAAATATTTGAAAAAACTGTTTTAACATCAAGTGTCATCCACTACAAATTTAAAAAAATGTATTTGAACTTGAGTGGATGAATAAAAAGTATTTTAGTAACAATTGAAAATTTGAACAAGATATATATATATATATATATTAGCGGGTTTGGCATTTTTAAGTGCAATTTTTAGGTAAGTTACTTCTATCTTGTAATGGATTATAAAATATTCCTATCCATTACTTTCAATAGGTTTTTGCTCAGTATTATTTACATAAAGGGGGAAGGTTGGCTGACCCAAAAACATGTTCAACCCTAATATAAAAGTGGGGTTATATTTTTATATAAAATAATTTATATAAAAATTATTGTGTATATATTAGCTGTCCTAAGTCAGCAATGTTTATAATACTGCAACATCCATTATATAATTTTTAATCTCGGTTACTCATATGTCCTTCATTGTGTGATTTTCCTACTGTCTATGTGTTTTTCGAATGTGATTGTTGGATGTTATCTCTTGTTTGTATAGAATAAGCCTATATATATAGAAATATATATATATAGGGAGGTTGTGGATCAAAAAAAATAAATGAAACAAATAAAATTATTTTTTATATTACCGCCATAAACACAATATTTTTTTAATTAAAGACCGGGTTTTCAATTAAATTATAAAATACAGTTCAAAAATAATAACCTGTTTTATAAAACTAATAATATTTTTTTTATGATACGATGATGTCCGTATAATATCATTACTGCTTTCCCTAAATTTGAAATACCGGGAGAAATAACTCCTTTTCCTGGTCTTTCACCCTTTAATTTAAGATAAATGGATACATGAAAGTGTGTAAGAGTTTATTTAATTGCTTCTAAAAAATTAAATTCTTGAAAAGAATGTAATAATTTATAATTCCATTACTTAAGTAAAATGCTACAAGAAGTTTTCAAACTAGATTTGATTAATAATAACTATTATTTTCTACCTTAATTTAACTTAATTATATTATTATTATTGTCTTGTAGAAAAATACAAATAAAAGAAATTCAATGTACTCATTTACTTTCAACAATGAGCCACTCACGCATCCTTATTTCACACACGAAATAATAAAAATTCAATACACAAGTGACTAAACATTTTAAAAAAAAAAAATAGAAAAACTTTATTTTCACTTTAAAAATCTTCTAACTATTATAATTTTCTTTAAAAATCGCGTTTTTCTTATAATTAAAATTTAAATGCTTCAAAATTATATTTTTAGGCATGCAATGAAAAATTTGCAATTATTTTTTTTTAATTTATGGTCCTCTGTGACTTCAAAACTCTATTTGCAAACTAATGATTATGGTCCGAATTTATGGCTGGAGTGTCGCAGGTTCGAATCCCTGTCCCACTGACAGCTTACCGAGTTGTGGGGACCTATGCACGTAAAATCTTTCAAGCCTTAACGTCATTCCGAATTGAGTTCATTTGACTTTGGTGTTTTATGGCGCAAGAGCCAGTTTTTGGCTATACTGCACCAAACATTCATAGGTCTGTGGTCTGGACGGGAAAAGAAGAAATTGGATGACAAGATGGAGGGTCGAAAATAGAGAAGGATGACTGGGGTACCCCGAGGTCGTGACACCCGTGTTTACCAAAGATAGTAAACCCCTTGGGAAAAGGAAAAGATCACTAGGGTACCTCGGGATTGTGACACCCGTACCCACTTAAAGAAGGCGAGCCCCTGAGGGGAATGTCATTCCGAAAGTGTGGTAGTTAGAAAAGGGCATACCAGCTCAGGTGTCGTCCTTGTCACTTGGGTGAATTTCAAAATTGCAAGTTCCACCACCAATAGCACTTGTGCTGCTTTATAGTGTGACCAGAATAAAGTTCTCATTCAATCAAAACTTTATATTGCCTGATACAGCCGTGGAATATTTATGTATAAAGATCGCGCGAAAGCAGAAATCAGGGATTTAATGAATTTTTATTAAAATTTGACTATGGTGCAATTAGATTAAATTTAAGAATTCAGATATGCTGAAAAGTACTATTTAGCTAAAATAATTTAGAGTTCTTATACTAATTTTTGATTTCTTCATTGAGCAATAATATACCCAATTACATGGAAAACGTAATGCATAATCTTATCACACTAGATAACTATCATGAGCACAAAAGACATTTAAGCAAAGTATACAGGGTGCATCAGGACAGATAAAAATATATCTAGACGATAGGGAACCACATAGGAATGCATGGTCGGAAAAGCTTTCTGGGATTGGTGGTGTTGATACAAAACACAAGAAAGACAAGACAAGAATAAGAGGAGAAAACATGTTTATTATTCTTAGTACAGTAAAAATGATAGCACGTGATTAATAGTGCTACGTAATCCAAAGCGTCAGATGACATTGCATGCGCACTCGCGATTTTTGCTGCTGCGCACTTTATTAAACTTCATTTCGCTTGCCGGCAAAATGGTAGTTGGATGGAATGTTGCACAAACGCTGAGCTCGCTGATATGCATCTGGCATCATGAAATGCTGATTTCAATGGACGAGCAACACAGCGCTTGTACGGCCAACGTTACCTCCTGAGGGAAACTTTTTTCTTAATTTCTTTGCTGTGCATGGTTTCACCTCTCACCCGTTTCCTGTCAATACCACGCCATAAAAGCGTTTCAAACTATGTGATTTCCCATCGGCTAGGATGGCCGTGGTAGCCGAGTGGTATAGGTATCAGACCCTGGCTTGCCTCGTCACGAGTTTGAGCCCAGAACCACTAAAGACCCGCCGTGTAGGGCAGCGATGCACGTTAAATCTGTCGAGAGCTCAAACGTCCTCCCGTTGGTGTGGTGTGGTAGATAGGAGAGGTGGGTGCCATCTCAGGTGTCGTCCACGTCACTTGACCATGGTTTAAAATTGCGTGGTCCGTTGCCAAAAGCCCTCGTGTAGCTAAACAGTGCGACGTTAATATTCAATCAATCAATCAATCCTATTGACTAGGTATACTCTATCTGTCCTGAAAGTCTGTAACAACTGTCCTAATACATCCTACACCAATGAAAAAGGTAAGAATAAATTAGGTACTTACAATTCGTTAATGAAACGTACTTAAAAGAGTCATCAGTGGTTAATAAATAAAAAAAATTGTGTGAATTTTTCAGTAAAAAAATTAATAATAACACAGAAATAATAACAAAAAAACTAAATGAATTATTTTTGTAAAATTTTACATCGATTAAATGAATTTAAAGAAAAGAAATATGCAAACAGCATGTTAATTTTCAGTTTAAAAATTATTTGTAATCTTTTTTTGTTATTTCTACTCTCTACATTCCCCACTATGCCAGCGTTTCTCAAACTGCGAGCATATCGAAAAGTTGAAAATAAATGATTATTTTTTTTGAAAAATTATTGTAAATTTACTGAAAGGTAGCAAAACAAAATACATTCTAAGATAATAAAAAATAACATTTATAAGGCTATAATATACGGTATTTACATATATTCGCAACCGTATTGGTGACGTTATATGAAACGAAAGACATGGTTGCCAATTCAACGCGTATGGCATATGTGAAATCGGGGTTGCCAACTTAAAGGGTTATCTTGAACATTGGCATTGATGTGATAGTACTTAAGTATCTAATATACTTATAAGTGTATCACTACTGCACAGTGAATTTGATCATTAATTCTAAGTTAAAAACAAGAGTTTAATAATTACTAGTGAACCCTCTTGGGCTTGTCATATACAAAATTATATTAAAAATTTAATACTTATCTTGATAATTTGCACGGTTTATAATCGAAGTTGTATTGTAGTTTTAGCGTCCAAGTGAGTTATCATTGAATTTATATATATACAAATACATATATATATACATATAGTCCATTATTATTGTAGGGAAGGGGGTTGTGTGAGGAAAATTATGATTGAAAATTGAGTCGCAAATATTGGAAGTTTGAGAAGCACTGCACTAAGCGAGTAAAGCTATCATAAAAAATAAACATTCGATAAAATTGCTACGACTTGCACTCTACACATCAAAGCAAACAAGATTTTTTTAAGAAACTGGCATGCTTTTACTTTTTCCTCTCTTTTTTACATCAAACTGGAAAACAGCTCTCAGATTTCAATTTTCTACCTACAACTTTTATGTGGGCTTATCACAAATTCTTCAAAGTATAGAATTTTTTAGAAAAAAAAACTAATGCAAAATAAGAATAAAACTGGCTGTTTTATAGTACTATGGTTCATGTTGCCTACTTTAGAAATATGCTCCTTTATTTGTTTTAACTTTTGCATTATAGTTATGTCTCACTTTTAATTTTCATGGATTTTTTTTCGTGGGTGATATTCTTTATAAATAATATCACAATTTTTCTCCTCTTTAAAAAATAATATATTTTATTTTCAATCTTTCACGCTCCCTTTAATTTTATGCATTTTAGTTTATTTGTTTTGTATAACAAAGAAAGAAATGATAAATTACACAGGGGTACAAAATTAACGTTTTGGAAAAATACAAAAGATGTTTTCAGTGATTTTCGTATTATTTAGTGTGCTGATTTCGAAAATGACTTGCATTTTTTCCCATCACGTGGGGATTTTTTGTGTAAAATCGATATCAATATTTTTGCTAAAACCCTATTTTAAAAGGAATTCTCTCGAACAATTTAGCCTGAGTAATTTGGCATCAAGGGTTTTTATTCAGTTAAATCTATGTAAATATTTGTTCTTGGTGAGGCTAATTAATTTCTCAGCAATTAGATGAAAACCATTGTTTCTAGACCTCACAGGCTGTCTTTGATCGTGAGATAAACAAGAAATCCTTTTAAGATTTATACATTTTACAACCAATAATGGTGTAATTTTCTAAAATAAAGTCACCAACACACTGTTTTAATTTGTTTTTATCAAGGTATTGTAATGACTTCACA